CTAATATGAACATGTGAAATTACTTGACATCACACCGTTTATAAGGAGAATGTGGTTTGCAATGCTGTTTATAAGGACGATTCCTTTGAAAGCTTAATCCACAACACAGGCCCAGAGAGACCTCTTGAATGGTAGCCACTTCACTGGACCTTCTTCCAATTTATCATTAGCTTGGTTTTCACTGGAATCGTTATAACTCAAGGGTGAACTAATCGCTGATCTCCGGGATTACAATGCACCGTAGGCGCCACTTCATTCACGAACTATGTAATCAAGCTCAGGTTGTTTGCTTTGCAGCTCAATGCCGGCGAGCGAACTCGAGATCACGACTCCTGTAGACATTTTGCAGTAATGTCCACTTTTGAGCACCGAGAATCTACCACCCTTTTTAGACTGTGTTTTTTAATTTCCCAAACCATCTATTAAACAAATAAAGCAACTAAACAAGGAAGTTTACGAAGTAGCCCAGAAGTTCCAAACAACCAACTATCATCACAAACAGCGGCAACTATTAAAACTTACTGGAGAGATAGGATTCTGCTGATTCCCAAGACTGGTGAACCGTTATAATTTCGTGAGTGAATTCACTCAGTTACGACGGAATGCATCGACATGTGGAAATAGATAAACTTATCGGACTCAAATAAACAGTATATTCTAGTCCATCGTTCAGTAGCTCCTTGCGGAAACCGCCACCGAGCTTTTTTCATATCATCTAGAAAGACGTCCTCTGAGCTCCGAATGAACTCTTTGCAAATCGCCAAGTGGCACTAATAACGAGCTATTCTATTATAATGTTCTTTCGGGATCTTGGTAAGGCAGCATAAGAAATGTCAGGTGAAATAAAACAAGTTCATATTCGCTTCTTCCCTAAAAACATTCCTTTGATACTCCTATGGAAAGTAATTAATTAATTAAGTAAGTATTTAATTTATAAAATGAGCTATTCCGTAGTATGTAATACAATAAGGATACTTTTGAATATCTACAAAACAGAGCAGGTCGAAAAAGAAATAGCGTTCAAGAAGAGTAGCGTATTGGTGGCAACAGATTATGTGGTATAAACCTCGAATTTAAATGATAATTCCAGGAATGCTAAGTGTGTGTGTTCTGACAAACCTCGAATTTAAATGATAATTCCAGGAATGCTAAGTGTGTGTGTTCTGACGTTAGGCGATTTTTTCTTTGAGTTACTTAGTGGTATGTGCGTGGGTGTGGGATTTTTTGCGCAGTTCCCAACTGGCCTCGGGCTCAGAAACTGTTNATACTTTCAAGAGTTCGTCCAGCTTATGCATTACTGCAATGACAAACAATGATGATTAGAAAATTATGGGCGGTACCAGATTTGTCCAATTGCAGCTGTACCGTTTTCAACCACTGATCAGTTAGGTTTGGCTTCGTAACAAAGGATCGAGCAGCCGTGACGTTTTTCAGGCGACTGGAATGTCATTCGCTTCGTCAAGGCATTTTTACATTGCTTGTTCAGGTGTTCGGCGACATATCATCCACGGATAATTAGTCATTAAATTACGAAAATTTGTCAGTGTGGCTACTGCGACTGTGTTCATCAGACTCATCGTTACCAGAGAAATCCTACAGATCTCAAATATTGCATGTGATCACTATTTGATTAGTTGCATCTATTTGTAATCCCTGATGAAACAAGTTTCTCGCATGCGAGTCGCGTTTGAATCAATATTGAGTTGATATAAGACTGTTATGGAACTTGAAAATCAAAAGAGTTCCCTAGTTGAGAACCTTTTCTTGCGTGATGCAATCTTCTTTTTGTGTTTTCTCTAGGGCTGGCTACCATTACAGTAAAACGCTCGCCACGGATAAAAATAACGGATTTTTTGCAATAAAACGCTCGCCACGGAGAGAAATAACTGATTTTTTTTCGGGTCACACTGTGTTGTAAGGTCAGGGCGTTGTATATGATGTGAATTGTATATAGAACTAAACTCGACGATTAATTTCAGTTACACAGAGTAATTTGGGTGAAGAGGGAAGCTGCTCAGGGACCGTCGTGCTTAAACAACAGGGACAGTTTTGGGACACGACAGCGTCCCTCCTATTTCCTTGGGGGTCACTGGGAGAACTCAGAAACCATTTTTATCGTGAACTATGCCTTTAATGGACCGAGTAGCAATACAACTGTAGATTTGAGACATAGAGCAGGAGAATTCCTGCGCTGCGGTAACGTCTGCGCCTTATCCCACCAGGCGCGTTTGGGGCTTCCCATACTGTGCCTGTNGGACCAAAGTACGAAGAGTTTTATGGGTAAAAGCTCAGTATAACTGCGTTGCACAGACAAACATACAAAGTACGTCATACCATGTGAAAAGCTGTACGTTCAGAGGCTAATATTCTTGGGTGAAATGGCATCAAAATGCCTTGTAATAACATTGGCGCTGATATTAATACTAGTGGAGAGAACGTCACTTCATCGGAGCAGCGATTCCATTGACGTTGATGTAAAAAATAAGGGGGCGGTAAGTACATTCACCCAAGCCTTCGAAATAGAAAGACCTCCTTATCACTCAACAATTGATGTGAGTTTTAGCACCAAGCCTTTCTACTGCAACAATTTACAAAGTTTTATATCGGAAAGCATGGCACTAACCGCAGTATGGTCTCACTACATCATGCTGGATACGGTCTCTGGGCAGGACGAAACAGGATGGAAGAGCAACTCCGAAAAAAAGTTGGTCAATCTGAAGACTACAGTAGAAAAATTCCTCACTTGATTTCGATTATTTCAGAGACAAGGTTGGTCACATGCAATGGGCAGGTAGAAATCACTGTTTTCTCAGCACAGAAAAACTTGATCAATTTGTAAAACCGTTAAAATCCTTGTATTTGTACTGTATAATTTAGATTGCGCTTCAACATCATGCACAATGCCATCCATTGGAAATGGCCCACCTGCATTTGGTGGTCTTATCTCGAATAATATGCAGTTTTCAATCAGCTCGGGCCCCTGCCCTGAACTAACAATCACATGTACAGGAGGAGGAATGGCAATTATCGAGACTAATACACCTACGGAGATGGGCATGATGGTCAGCTGTTCATTAATATATTTTTATTAGGTTGGTAAGAAATGTCCACGGCAAAAAAGCAAAGAGTAGAAATTTTTGTGTGGTCAATGTGGACAAGATTGCGAGGTTCATAAACTTCCAGGACGATATTTCACAGGAGATCAACACTTGTGTAAACAAGGGCAGGCATGTGTGTTTCCGCAACTTTACCATCGATGATTGGACAACACCAGATTCGCATCATCACCTTCTACCACGTAGTCAAAGGAGAAACGCAGGAGTAGTGGCTGATATTATCAGCGACTCGCTCTCTGGAGGGATTGTTCACCGCCCAACGGCAACAATTGGTTGGACCGCTTCGCTGATTTTGATACTAGACTTCGAGATAATGCAAGCATCGTCCCTCGGTTTTGTGGAGCGTGATGACAACCATCCACTACGAGTTGCTAAAAACAAACTAGATAGTCGCAACTGTAGCTTACCCCTATGAAACCCAGCATGTGGTCAACGCGGTCAGAAAAAGACGACCAAATCAATAAATTATTATAGGTAGAAGTGCAGAACGACGACGCACGTCGGCATTTCGCTTTAGACACCCTCCGAAAACCACGCCTGGTTCAAGAGGGTTCATCAATCGTACTCCCGGAAGTTTGTTCCTTTTGATTACCATTTGCTCCGCCTTCTCAAGCATCTCTTTGTGGGAGAAAAGTTCTTAACCTAGTATGGTCCGAAAGCGGCAATCAATCATTCCTATGAGTCACAGCTTCCCGACTTCTGGCCAAGAGGCATGAGTGAGTTGCTCAAAGGATAAGGGGGGGGGGGCACTTGATCTTTCTGGTTATTATACATCTAATATTTGATTACATTGGAAAATTTTAGAGATTAACCCAGAATGACGTTCTTTTTGTAGCTGACTTTCTTACCAACCTATCACATCTACACTGTTTTCAAGAGGAAGACACATCACAAGGGAAAACATCAATGAGTGGAAATTAAGATCGTTGGAGATTTTGGAGATGTCATGATCGTCACTCATACCCTACCATGTGAAACGTTTGGATGGGGAGCATCCGAAATGTCATTGTCTCCTATAGGAAATTCGTTCTTCTGTGAAGGTAAGTGAAAAACCGTGCAGCTGAGTTCAAGTATAAACTTGATTAGAATGGTCAAACGATTAGCAGAGGATATACGCATGAAATTGTGCACTATGTAGTGTTATCTCACTATCTGTTAGTACTATAATAGAAAAACCATTCTCCTCCAATCCTTCTATATATAACGTGCTAATTTCTGTATGTTTGTGTGTAAGTGTATGTGTGTGTATGTGTGTATGTATGGTTACTGTTTATTGATTATTGTTTAGTACGTCATTCGACATGTCGTCAAAAACATAAATATGATGCGTAGAGACAAAAACTCAAACTGAAAGAGCTAATTACCATAACAAGTCAAAAGTGAGGATACCTATAAAGGATACCTAAGCAGCTTCTAGTCATTCTAGTATACCTAGAACTGAGCATTGCAAACAAGCAACGATGGTTTAGAAAGCTTGAGTGTAGTGCAAGACGAGAGCTGGAGAACTGACACAGGGGTAACCAATTTCATAAATTGTAGAATAATAATCTAGTGACAATAAGTGTGTGAACCAAGTATAGCAAGGCACAACCATAAGCAGATGGTGCAGTCAGCCTTGAAGTAAGAAGCACTTGCTCGGAATGGGACCCCGCATCAGCCGGCTATGATGCCCTTCGCCATGACCGGCGTCATGGGGACCCGCCAAACTTCGAGACACGGGTTTACCGC